CATCCCTGAGACACAAAAGTGGTTTCCCGAGGACTCCCATGACTCAACAGAAGCAAGAGTTTCAAAACCCTATAAGAAATTAACCAAGGATAAAATGGTCATTTTACCCAAAAATGGATACCACCTTGCACACCATTGGAAAGATAACAAAAAATTAATAAACTTAAACTCAAGAATCACATGATTCAGAGTTCGGACAAAGAAGATATGGTTAACAGAAGAAAAATGGATAAAAAGGTCAAAATTAGTCAACCCATGACCATCTAACCGGTTAGGAAACTTTCTTAACTGGTTACAAAGCAAAATTAGAGGTGACCATATTCTGCCCAAGCACATGTAACTGGTTACGAGATCCAACCACCCGTACACTTGTACTACAGATCAGCAAAAAGCTGACAGTAGGGGTTTTTCGGGAAAAAATGGGTTTTTGAGGGCCAAGATGAGGTTTCTTGAAAAAAAAAAAAAAAAAAAAAAAAAAAAAAAAAAAAAAAAAACACCCCTAAAATCATGTTTTCTGATCAACCATGGTCCAAACCAAAATTGAAAAACAAGAAAAAATGACAAAAATGCCCCTAAGAAAAATCAGGTCAAGAAGGTTAAAAAGCTGTTAAAATAAATAGCAAAAAACTAAACTTCACGAGGGATTTCCGGCACTAAGACGACGTTTTCTAGAAAAACACAAAGAAGAAACCCCCCTTAAAATCACGTTTTCTACTCGACCATGTCAAAAGAAGAAAATAAACACGTTATGGAATGCCCATAATACCCCTAGATCAGATTATGCAAAAAAAATACAAAATGAGTCCAAAGGTACTCAAATCACCAAGGAAGAGGTTTTTCCCAGAAACGATCATACACACAGATGTAACTTACCTATTAGAACGTGTTACAAAGATCCAAAGCTTAAAAATACCACCGATGCAAAATATGACTGATCAAACCTCAAATACATGAAAAATGCCCCTTTAAAGACAAACCATGCAACAACCGGACCTAAATGCAATTAAAAGACCATTTGGCCCTTGGCCACACTTCATGCATATTAAATGAGTCCTAGTGGAGGTGCTCATGCACACTTTGAACCACCCGATTTGAAAATGAACCCTTAAAGGCTCAGATTTTTCTATTTTAGTCCAAAAATGCAATATATGAAACTATAATGCAAAACTTAAAACAAAATGGTGTTTGGCCATTGGTCACATCTCATACATGGTAAATGAATGCCAAATGATAAATTTCATACACAATGCACACTCCGGTACAAAAATAACATGCTGAAACTATTGGTTTTCATATTATTCATATTAAAGGGAAATTTCTACATTTATGAATATATATGGATTTCAAATGAAATTTAACCCTTGGCCACATATCATATACATGAAATAAGTGTCAAAAAGTATGCTTAGGCACACATTACAAGTCCAAGGCAAAAAATGACATTTTGACCTAAATATGCATTACAACTTTAAAAGTAAAAATCAAACATGCTAACACTTGCATGTGAATAAAAATGCACTTAAAAAAACTTCAATCCATCGAAACGACTTAGGGATGTTGTGCCTCCCTAACCAAGGCATCCGTACCTGAAAACAACCCGATAACTTTGGGGTGACTAAATAAGTTACTCGTATGGAATGAGCATGCATCGACCTAACTTTTTACAAAGTTTTCACATTCATGTGAAACAATTCAAGATGTCATGCCACTTAACGTCTATGTCAAAAGTGGAACTAAGGGATCATCTCAAACTGCTCATGCAATTGAAATGAACTATGACACACAAGTATACATGGTCAAGTATACAAGACAATGTTAAAACATGATTACGACATATAAGCATACATTTACAAGTATATTAAATCATGTTAAACGAGATAAGCAATATCTAGCATACGTACACCAGTATTCGATATATGTAGAGTACTCATAAATCAAGTATACAAACATAAGTATACTAAGCTAAACGAGATACGCCTAAAACAAGTATATACGGCACAAGCATACTAAATGAATTTTAAACTCACGGAGCAAGTATACAAGTTCAAGTATACTAAATAGGATTCAAATACCCAAAACAAGCATCAATTCTCAAGCTACAAGTAATTCATGATTAACAAATTGAAATTGAATGCGAAATCAAATAGTGTAAAGACTAGGACATGCGGTCGCTAGACCAAGCAAGTATTTTCGGGTAATTATAACCCACAAGGTACCACCTAGTGCGCACTTATGACTTAAAAGACTCTTGTCTCCGTACTAGAGCCAAACCCTAGCCATCATATAAATTATGTCCCCACAAGCTTTCCAAAATCAATAAGTTCAAAACTTATACAAAATCAAATGCAAGTTATCACATCCCATGCATAAGTAAGGTTGAATCCACACAAATCATGTTCCAGAATTCAAGTCTAAATAATATATGACATGTCAAGTCTTCAATATGCAATTTTATACAAAACAAGAATATCTTACAACAATTGAACCAAATTACCATTATAAGTCATAAGTACTAAATAAGCTACAATTTAGTAACAAGTTTTCAAGGTAATCAATTGTAATATTCTAAACAAGTTATATACCTACACAAGATATATTTAAACAAACTTTGCAAAACAATAATATCCTATATCATGCTAAGTCCAATTACGATTTTAAGATGCCACAAGTACTAATTCTACATCTAACTAGTAATATGCTCACAAGGTAATTAATTGTACTACATTTCATGATATTATCACCCTAACATGAAAAGTCTCTAGATTTCAAATCAATTTCAAATAAACTCAAATTAATATATGTTAAAGGATATAGCACGGTCTTCACATATATTACATCTAACATCAATGTAAGTGACTAAAACACTTAAAATAAAATTAATTAAGCTAATTAATTAATTTTCTCTAGATTTTCAAACAATTCCAAATGTCCTCAATATAACATAGGTTAAAGAACATATCAATACCTATTTTAATATCACATTATAAGTTGATTTAATACATGTTATAACTATGTGAATTAATCTTTCATAAAAGATAAATATTAAATAAAATTTACAATTCTTATTCAAATGCTCCCAATTTAATATTTGCTAATAAACATACTAAGGCCTAATTTACTAGCATGCTACAATTTATTTCAAATCTATACACAACCATATGAATTAAATCTCAAACATAAAAAATAATTAAATTAAATTTTAAAACTTGAATAAAGGCATGCTCACAAGTTATATATGCTTGTAAAATAATCAATAGAACTCAAATATAAACCTATGACATCCCCTACCTCAAATTGAGATGAAATCTCAAATCCCCACCAAAATGAAACCGCTCCGCATCCTATGAAACTTCGGGGTTTTGCCAGGGACAACAAGGTGATCATTAAACCCCAAGGGAATCCTACCAAAATCCTAACTTGGCTTTAAACCCGAACTCGAAAAATGACCAAAACAGAATTCCAATCGGTTGAAATCGAAAGTCTCGTCAAGGCGAACAATAAAGTCTAAGACATCACCACTTTTTAATAAAGGGAAGAAGTCCAAAAGATGATAAAGAAGGTGGCAGCCATGGGAGGAGTTTTGGCCAGCCAAGAGAGGGGAAAGAGATGAAAATATCTAATTTTTCATTTTAATGACCCCTATTTATAGAAAAACCCTAAAAATGCTCTGAACGGGTCCTGCTAGGTCCGGAAAAGTGAAATTTGAGCAGACGCTCTCAAACGGCAAAACTCCATGAACGAAAAAGAACCGAAATGAAAAAAATATAAATAACGGAAGAAACGGTGTCGAAAACCGAATCCCGAGTAAAGAGATATGCTTAAAACAAGTTTGGCGTTAACCGAGGTCAAAAACTGTAGGGTTCGACCGCAAGACAATTCTAAGAGTACGTGACTCGGCAAAATGTGAAAATGAATCCCATACGAGAATTCAAGCCCCAAGGAGACACTTAACAATTAACTTTCATTAATTGCGCAAAGGCCCCTACACAAAAGGATAACTGCGCAAGTGACCAAAATAAAAATATCCTCCAAAAGATATTTTCTTAAAAACCTCTGAAATAAATATTTTCAAAAGATATTTACGAAAAACACTCTAAGAAACATAAATGTTTCTGAAGAATCCTTTCATTTACACCCTTACGGGAAAAAGAAATAATCAGCGAATTTTTCTCCAAAAGTAAAGCTACGCATTTCAAGGAAATCAACTGGAATGAAAACTCGTGAAGTCAAAACTCAACTCTAAACATGAAAAGTGAGGTTATGCCAATAAAATGGCAAACGAGGAAAAAGACGAAAAGTGAATAGTATCGAAAAACGAAAAATGTGGAAATGACGCGGTCCTTTAAGAAAGTTGTCAATTCAAAAGAAGAATCTCAGAAATCATTTCCGAGCACTCAAGACGACACTAAGCAATGAGAAACCGAACTCAGAAAAGAAAATCCAACGAAAAAAAATTATCCGTAAATCTGATGAAAAAGGAAAGGAAGGAAATGACAGAGTCATTACATCCCAAATGTGCCTTTGATATATATATATATATATATATATATATATATATATATAGTTATCCTTGAAGATCCCACTATAACAGTTCTGACTTTTACCAGTGCTCAAAAGTGCTAGTAAAAGTCTCAAAAAGCACTGGTAATTCAATTACCAGCGCTTTTGAAAAAGCGCTGGTACATCCAATGTCGGTAAACCTTTACCAAGGCTTTTCCGAAAGCACTGGTAAAGTCCTTTTACAAGCGTTTTTCCAAAAAGCACTGGAATAGAGTATTTACCAACGCTTTCTGCAAAAGCGCTGATCGAGTGTATTTACCAGCACTTTTTGGTAAAGCGCTGGTAAAGGGTAATTTTAATTTTTTTTTTCCTCCCTCCCTATGACAACGCTTCTTAAAAGAGCACTAGTAAAGGGTTTTTTTATTTATTTATATACATATTTTTTATATAGTTTTTGGAAAAAAATATCAATACAACTATTGAAACTACCAACTACTAAATGTCATCCAATATAACACAAGTTAATATAAAAATACCATCCAAATTGTTTTTACATAATACAACCACAAAGTTAACCATGCCAATATGAAAATTACCATCGAAATTGGCTACTAATACAACCATAAGTTAAGCTGATAAATGTCAACCAAAAAGCAAAAATGTATACTAATACAACCACAAGTTAACCTGCCAATATACCATCCAAATTGTCTAAATAAAGATACTAAATGTCAGACAAAAAGAATTAAGAATTTTTGACAAATGTAGTACAAGTTTTTCAAAAAGAACCCATCCAAGGCGAAGGAAATTCATAAAGCACAGCCACGACCCCATCTTCAACTTCAACTTCAACAAGTCTTCTTGCCCATTTGATTTGAATTATCCTACATTTTTTATAAATTCATTACGAACACATTATAATAAATGAAAATTTAACATATATATAAGAGAAATTAAAAGTTCATAACCTTAACTGAATTGGCATCACGACTAGAAAATGAATTTGGGGATACTCTAGGAGGAGCATTTAAAGAATCAGAACCCTTCAAAATAAGAAAACAAAATACATGAAATCTTGGCATAAGTAAACATATATTTAGTAAAGAGTAAAACTAATAATAAATTTACCTGTCCACTACAATTTTGTTGTTGCATCTGCATTAGCATAGCCACCTGTTGTTGTAAATTTTTCAACTTGTTATCATAGTTGACTCGTAAATTTTCCAACTTGTTGTCATACTCGGCTTGCATTTTTGAAATGCTCTCCTGCAACACTACACGTGTAGCACGTGCCTCCTCATCAAAAAATTTCGCATTATTAATCAGTTCATCTTTACTAGGAGAGGGCCCCCAAACATTGCTTGGTGTAGGCCCGAAGCCAAGCATCCGCACACGACCAGTTCTCTCTTCTCCCCTCACAATGGAGAACAAATCATTGGAACTGCCAAAAGGCGAGTTAGAGTAACTTTTTTGAAGTTCTTTTATGTTTTCCTGCCAAAAAAAAAAAAAAAAAAAATTTGAACTACCATGACATACTGCTATGAAACATCCAGACAAATCTAATGAAATGAATGATAGAACAGGAATCCAGAAACAGCTGAACAGAAAAGTAATTAGATAACAAATTGGTAATGATGAAAGCCAAAGTGTTCTGAAACAGCAGTGCATCACACAATGTGAAAATATAGTTGTACATACCTTTGAACTTTCATACAATCTAAAGCTTTAAAATATTCACACCCACTTCATTTACAGACAAAATGCTATAAATTAAAGGAATGCTAAAAATTGTGCGCAATATACTGACATTTCAGAACCTAAATAATAGTTGATCAGTATCAGTTGACATTTCAGATGACATTTCAGAACCTAAATAATAGCACTTAGCTTCAACCTGAAGTCTAAGGTTTATTTATTTATTTGTGTGTGTGTGTGTCCGAGGTCCATTTTACTTGCAAATACTTGCATGCCTAACTAAATTTCTGTTATTTTTAATTTATCCTCGTGTATTATTGTGTAGTTGAAGATTTCCTTGTTCATGACATCTGTGTCTTAGTTGCTTTGGCAGAACAACACTCTAATTCAGAAAGATTCAAGCAGGTTCGCTATTCAAAGTATTGTTTTTCTTATACATCATTATTTTATGGTAGTACTATATATGATTTTTTTTATTTTTTATTTTATTGTTTTGAGCAAGTAGGGGATTACCCAGGTCCTCTCTATCATAGATGGTCAGCATCAACCTTGGCTGAATGGTATGGAGCTGTTGGAAGATGCTCAACAAAATAAGCATGTTCTATCCACTGGATGTGAAAAGTATCTTGAGCCTGAATATTCACTATTTGTTTTTTTTACCACTAAGATTATGATGCTATTAAGACACCTAAGTAATTAATTATCATTTTATGAACCAGGATTGACATGTTACTTTGAGGTGGATTATGTGAGGGACATCTAATAGAAATAGTTGGGCCATCATCATCTGGGAAAACACAAGTAAGAACTCCATTCACTTATAATTACAATCATTAAAACGATACAAGTTAGTTGAAATTTCAGATGCTTCTGAATTATGTTTCTAACTGTTTTATGGCCTCTAAATCACTAAATTATTATACTATTCTTGGCCCACAATTTGATAACCAGATTTACCAGAGTTATGCTATTGATCTAAAATCTTGTAACTATCCAGGTTTGCCTACAAGCAGCCTCAAATGTTGCAAAGAATCATATGGGTGGTGTTGTGTTCTTAGACACAGGAAATTCCTTTTCTCCTAAACGCATTGCACATTACATCAGCCAGATCTCAAATCATGCTAAAAAAGAGGTCAGGTATCTTGTCTCACTATTATAGTTCTTTCTTTGTTTTTGTTTGCTCAGATGGTCATCTTTGGGTCTGGAAATGAATTCAGGAAACAAGGCTCTTGGACTTCCTTTTTATGTATTTTGTTGATGCTTGCTCCATTGTAATTTTCCAAGAATATTTGCTCCCAATATAATTCATAGTACATGGTATGTAAAAATTTCAGTGACTTTCTGGGTTGGGAGAGCTTGTGTGTGCATGACATTTCTGGTGATTGTCTTCTCTTGAGATCTACGTGCATGTCCCCACCCTTTTTCTTGAGATTCCTCTTCTGGCTCTAATTTTTTTCTCAGGGATCTTTCTTGCAGGGGAACTACAAAATTCTTCATCTTATATGTTGAACTTGTTTCAGTTGTAGTTTATTTTATTTGGTTATGGAGAAAAAAACGCTAACATTTCTACAAAACCTGATTTTTTAAAAAAAAAAAAAACAAACAAACATAATACGTTCTAAAAGCCTTCTTCATAGAAGCACAATTGGAATTCAACTTTGAGCACCACAAAACCTAATCCAAATGGGAATAGCAAACATGTGATCCCATGAATTGATAATTTATGTGAGATACTGAAAATTTTGCATGCCTGATTTCAGTCAATTATTGATCAGAAACAATATCTGACCATTCAAGTCCCAACTGAAATATGATCTTCAAATCTAACAAGATTTCAAAGCAAACACAGTCCGCCTAGAGGTAAGAGTTGTGACAAAAAAAACAATAACTACAATAAAAAAGACATACTATTATGAATCTCATTCAAATACGCAGTAAAGGGTTTCTATCCCCTAATAGAATGTTCAAAATTCAAATATCCTCATAAAGACTGCACCAAGAGTAAAGATCTATAGAAGCAGCCCATCGTCCATCATTACCCATTCCTCAAGGATCCAAATAATGGAATTATTCAAAGCTGTAGTAGCTACTTCTGAAATACAACTATATATGTGTATATCATACTTTTACCATGATTGAAAATGCAAGGATGACCAAAAATTATACATGTGTATATCATACTTTTAACTTTATATGTGTATATCATACTTTTATCATGATTCAAAAGACCACTGCACTGGTATGAGTAAGAAATTAACACAAACAACAAACAACAAATAGCAAATACTTCTCATCCACAACACAAATCAATCAACAAAAAGCCTCCACATACAATGATCCCATACTCCCATGCTTTTCAACAAATACAAGAAAGTAAATTGCTTCCACATAGGCCGATGATAAACAATGAAATTAAAATGCCTCCACACGGGCCGATGATTTAAAAATTGGTCACTTCAAGGCATGTGACCCCCTAATACACCGCAAAGAGTTTAAAAATTGGTCACTTCAAGGCACGTGATCCCCTTTTTGCAAAATGGAAGCATGAAAACTTACAATCATCTCCGAAGCAGCAGCATCAGTAACTTTGCCATCCTTATTTATATGTGAACGAATGAATAAATCTGCACGAGAAAGCTAAATACCTTCGTCTTCCTCAATCTATAAAAGAAACATAGACATTGTGATATATATTATTATTTACCACTAACATTTATAATCATTCAACGACATAAGAACTGAAATAATTTATATTGCTAAAACTTCAACTAACCTCAACAGAAACACATGCAAAGCTTTTTTGTCCCTGTAGCATGCATCATTGTCTGCTTCCCACGACGTTCTTTGTTTTTTTTACTGACCTCCTACAAAAAGTGAGAAAAAGTAAACGTTCTAACATTCCACCTAAAATAATGACTGAAAGCAGGTAAACTATAAATTCAACTCATTGACTTTGAACAAAATTGGTAGATGGAGGATTACCTTCACCATAGGCGTACCCCAATGCCTAACCAAAAATTCTCAATGCTCCTTTTCAATATCAGGTGGTGGGTTTGCCAATCTTTCTGCATTTGTATCCCTAACTGAGTAATATTCACTTTTTAATTCACACTTGTACCCCCTCCATTTTTTTCCGATGGAGGATATTGTCCAATGTTTTGACATGATTCCCATATCATACTTTCCCTGAAAATGTGATAATTATTGCATGTTAATCCACTTTTTCCATGTAAATTATTTTAATATCATTGAAGGGTTTTACCTTTACAACGTTCCACATATCCTCCTTCAGCCGTTTAGGCATCTCACACCAAGTTTTGTAGCACAAAGGAGCTAAATTAGCATTCCGGGCAAGTGTTCCCAAATAATTAGTATATGTACCACTTCCAGGGCCGATCGGTTGTCCAAACTTATTAACCCTAAACAAAAATTAACAATTGTAGATGTTTAGTACAAAAATAAAGATAGAAATCCTTTTTTCTCCTTCATATTGAATATAGTCTAATTATGTAAACTATATAAGATGATCTCTATATATATGTACCTTAATGGTAATAAGGTTGTCGCGGTTACGACATTCTTGCATCGTGTCGGGCCTCGTCTCTTCTTCAGCGGTGGTTGGGATGATTTTAAAGTTAAAGTTTCGGTATTTTGTTCACTCACTTTTTCCACTTCACTAACCGTTCGTTTCATTGTCAGCTTATTATTTATCCTTCCTGGAAAAGAAAACAAAAAAGTGAGAATTCATTTAAGAGAATGCAATCAAATTGTTTAAAAAAGGCAGTTCACAATCCAGGAAAAATCAATAAGAAATAAAAAATACCTCAAAACTTTAGGGTATTTTTGGTTGTCCAATGGAAATTATATAAAACCATTCTGTTTTAGTAAAATCATTGATTACACTTATACAATAATGTGCCAAGAATAGATCAAAACATATTAAAAATATATAAGCACACAAAAAAACTAAATCAGTTTTCACGGGAAGCATACATGTGCATGCTACAAAATATGATACTGCAATATTATTGTCAAAGTTGCATATATATATATAGTGAATCAGAGCTTATAATATCCAAAAAAGACATTTGACTTCCAAAAAAGACGTTTCACATCCATTGAGTAGTAGATATGGAATCATCCTATATCTTATCTTCATCAAGGTCATCATCAACATCATCTTCTTCTTTTATAGTTGTTCCAAGCAAATCAGCTCTTGTCCAAAACGTGCTATCATCAGGTACATCCAAGTCGTTATCCACATGTTGTGCATGAAATGGCTCCTGAACTTGATAAGATTCAATATCATGCTCTGGCATATCATAAAGGTCTCGCGGTTTTGCGCCAATAACCACTTTCCACTCATTGTCAATGGGATCATCAACATAGAATACTTGTTCAGCTTGAGATGCTAGAATGAAAGGCTCATCTGTTCCCAATGATCGTGACGAATTAACAAGCTTAAATCGAAAATCATCCTCATTTATTCCTCTACCCTTGGATGAGACATCAAACCAATCACACTTAAACAATACCACCTTCCTATTTACATTGTAATTTAACTCAATGATATCAGTCAGCACACCATAGTACTGAATATCTCCTGTGACGGGATTTTGATCGGTGGCTCTTGCATAACTAAATGTCACTGCCTTTATGACAACTCCACTATTCTGAGTCTTTCTCCGTCTCTCAACATCTCTAACATGAAACTTCAAACCATTGATCACAAACTTCTTGAACCGTTTCGCGACAGGGTTTGGACCTTGTGCTAGCCACCATAGCTCATTAGGAATTGGATCCTCACTATCTCGCAACTGTATTCATAAAGATATAACTTATATAATAAGGTAATTTTTCATAAACCCATAATACACCAACAACACAAAAGTCAAATACTTACACGTTCATTAAACCATTTGTGAAATAAATCATGAGAAATATTCTCTAATTGTCTTGGTTTTAAATAGCGATGCCTCATTTTAAGAAATCTCTTATGTTTTCTGCATTGTGAAAATATAATGTTAAACATATTACCTACTAAACTAAATGAAGTTTGACACGAATATAATCATGTAATATATTGGGGAACTTAATCTTACTCAATGAATGGTTCTGCTCCATGATAATTGAACAAAACATACCGATGAGCTTGCACTAAAGTCATCTCATCTAGATTAATGACTCTTATTTTCCCAAGGCACGGCCTTGTGCACCAAAATCATTCATTTCCTCTCCATCAAGCACATTATCGGAATTCCTTTGGGGGCTATTGAATCTCGTCTCAATATTTGTCGGATAACGTGAACAAAAAGTTAAGCATTCTTCCGCTAAATAACCTTCTGCTATTGAACCCTCGGGATGACTTCTATTTTGCACGTAATTTTTCAACATCATAAGGTACCTAAATATAAAGAATGAAATTTAATAATATCAGAATTATTAAAAAATAAACAAACTATAAATGAAAATTCATTAAAAATCTTGACATCTCAATTGGATACATCCAACGGTATTGCACTGGTCCTGCAATCCTTGCCTCGTGAGCTAAGTGAACAGATAAATGTACCATTATGGTAAAGAAGGCAGGTGGAAATATCATTTCCAACTGACATAGTATTAAAACAATTCGGTGTTTCAATTTATCCAAGTCTTCAGGCCGAAGAGTCTTTGAACACAGCTCTCGATAAAAGTTACTGAGCTCAACAAGTACTGAGCAAACATTCTTAGGCAATATCCTACGAATGGCTATGGCTAGAAATTGTTGCATCAATATATGACAATCATGACTCTTCAACCCACTAATTGTACGCTCTTTCAATTTCACACAACTTGAAATGTTATATGCATACCCATCTGGAACTTCAACATTTTTCAACACTAGACATAATGTGCTCTTTTCAAGTGAAAATAGCATGAAATTTGCAGAAGGCAAATAAATTTTGTTTGAACCACACTCTTATGGGTGAAGTGAAGGTCTTACTCCCATATCCTGTAGGTCAAGTCTTGCTTTTAATCTATCCTTCCCTTTCTGATCATTTATCAATGTGTGAAGTATATTGTCACATATATTTTTTTCAATATGCATCACATCTAGATTATGACACAGAAGATTATACTTGCAATATGGTAATTGAAAGAATATACTCTTCTTTCTCCAATTGTGCGGCTTCTGATCTTCATTCATTGTATGCACACTCTTTCCAAATGGTGGAAATTTAAGGCCCTCTAATTCATGTAACAATTGTGGTCCAGATAACATAGGCAGTGCACACCTTACCTCTTCAGTGCCGTCAAATGCTGATTTACAACGCCTATATTTATGATCGTTTTCAAGAAAACAACGATGTCCATCATAACATATTTTCTTGCTATGATCTAAGAAATGAGAGCAAGTGTCTTTGTTACAAGTAGGACAAGCCAAATACCCTTTTGTACTCCAACCGGATACCATTGCATAACCAGGAAAGTCAGAAAGAGTCCAAAACAATGCTGCATGCATATGGAACATCTCATTTCTTGAAGCATCATAAGTTTCCACCCCATCAATCCATAACTCTTTTAATTCCTCTATCAAAGGCTGCAAATAGACATCAATATCATTTCCAGGTCCCTTAGGGCCAGGTCTCAAGGTTGAGAGAATAAAATAAGGCTGTTTCATGCACATCCATGAGGGTAAGTTATACACGAGTATCAAAATAGGCCATGTACTGTGTGCAACACTCATGGTCTTGAATGGGTTGAACCCATCGGTTGCTAATGCAAGCCTGACATTTCGAGGATCACTAGAAAATGTTGGGTATCTTTTATCAAAGCTTTCCCATGCTGGGGAGTCAGCGGGATGTCTCATCAATCCATCCTTGATTTGCTCTTCGGCATGCCATCTCATAGAAGAAGCTGTCTTACTTGACATGAATAATCTTTGGAGTCTTGGCTTCAAAGGAAAATATTGTATAACTTTAGCAAGAATTTTTTTATTTGTTGATGAGGATGATGTACTTGCATTGCCCTCAGTTTCTGAATTAAAAACTTTCCACCTTGACTTGCCACAATTATGACACATTTCATCATTAGAGTGCTCCTTCTAATACAATATACAATCAGAGGGACATGCATGAATCTTATCATATTTAAGACCTAGGTCACCAATCATCTGCTTTGTTTCATTGAAGGTTTTTGGTAATGTCTCACCATCTGGTAATCCATCTTTTATCACTTTTAACAGATCTGTGAATGATTTGTTACTCCAATTATATTTAGTCTTCACTAAATATAGTTTCACTGCATAGGATAACTATGAAAACTTTTCACACCCAGGATATAACTCTTGGTTTGCATCTTCCAATAGCCTATAAAATTTATCTAACTCTTCATTTGACACCCTTTGGTGCTGATCATTTTCTCCGTTGGTCTCTTCCCTCCCTTTAGTTGGAACACCAAAACCTCGTGTAAGAGTCCATGCATATCATCATTTTTGTTTGCATTGATATCCTCGTGTGTTGTGTGTACATCAGTTTGCCGAGAAGATGACGGCACTTCTTCCCCGTGATAAAACCAAGTTGTGTATGACTGAATAAACTTATTGCATACCAAATCATCTCTCACCTCAGAACGTGTTTTTTTAATACAATTGCCACAATCAATACAAGAACAATATATACGCCCATCCTTCCTAACTTGCTCAAATGAGATATCTAGAAACTCATCAACTCCACGCAAGTATGCCGAACTTAACCTATTTGCATAGTAATGCATATAAAAAATCAAATTTCTTAAATTGTTGTTATTAGATTAAGTAACCTAATCAAACTACAATCTGAAGTACCTTGACTGAGTTATCCAACTTCTATCCATGATATTACATCAAGTAACCTAAATAAAATATATGGACAAGAAATATATTATTGGTAAACATGATAACAATTTAGTCAAGGTATTTGAAAAGAATAAAAAAGTAACATGTATAAAAAAAATCATGACTGCTCCATTAAAACAAATTCCTCAACAAAATGTAGCTAGGGTTCCTAAGAATGATCGTAAATTTTTAGTAAAATATCATTATGCAAGATGGGTCCATTGTGTACAACAAGAAAGTAACAAGTAATAGTTCAAATCTCCAAAAGTTCCACATGAACATATATAAATTATTTGCATTAATCAAAATAAAAACATATTACAACACGATTATTTGTAAGAGCTGACAATTCAACAAGATGATATACCAAAGTTGATTTACCTATCATGCAACAAGTAGAATATATATATTGATGAACTAATGAAACTCATAAGGAATAATTTTAAATGAATAGATAAAAAATTAAAAAGTAGGAAAAGCAATCATCAATACCTTCAAAGAATATTAGCTAATCAAATGCGAGTTATCCCCTTCTTGATTGCTAATGCGAAGGAAACCGAGACAAAGGCTGAATTATAGTGGTCACACTGTCAGCAATAGCAAGAACATAGCAAGCTCAGTGTCTTGTAGCACACAAAAACATAATTTTTTGTTCAAGTAGAAGGCAAACAAGAGAACAAAATTGTATTTGACAAAAAAAGAAACCGAATATTATATGAAAACACTAATCTGACCAAGTAATTATTTACATCTGCCCAAACACCTATATGCACATATGGATATTGATTATTAAAAAAAAAAATGTTGTTTTTCATTAAAATGCAACACAATACAACAGTAAGAAAATTGAATAAATTGGCTATATTATCTATTGAAAATGATATATAAGAAAAAGTTGAATGCAAAAAATTGGTTAAAAAAATAATAGAAATGTAACCTTAAAATATATCTAGAAGCATACTTGTATTTAGAGCCTAGAGGAGATTGTGGGTATGAGGCAAATGAAAGGTGTGTTGGGTTCAAAGCCCCCTCAGTGTATGAAAAGGTGCCTTGGTTGCAGACCTTGCATAGCTGTTTTAGTTACTCATCCCCACACCAAACATAATTCCAGGAAACAAGCAGCTATATAAGATAAGAACTACTATCTTCTCTCTTGGAAATGCAGATGTGGAGATAAGTACTTTCAACCTTGAAACTATTGTTTTCACACCCAATCTCAAAATCTTCTATGTAATGGAACACGGAGGGTGTTGATCACCCCCACATGGGATATGGTCCACACACACTCTCTATCTATGTGTGTGTGTGTGTGTGTGTGTACTATGTATATAACATGTACTTTAATTATTTAGAGAGAAAATTTCCAGCCTACGCAAGAAATAAGGTGGCTTGCTGTTAGACCTTTCAACACAAGTGAGAAGTGCAAAGGCGATACAGAAAAATGCATTGAACATTCTGAACAACTTATTTGAAACTAAAAGGATAGAGGCGTTCAACATCGGCAATTACCTCGACATTTCATTAAATTCAAAAAATTTAGGTCCATATTCAAGAATCAAGAGGCGTATTTCTTGACCTCTAACATAAAACAATACATGTGCATACACCTATGTGTGTGTTTGTGGGGGGATTGTATGTTGGTCACAATGTCCATTATTTAATTCCATGCCAAATTCCGCATAAGAACACACTGAACAAAGGCCGAAGAGCACAATGAAGACCAAGAAAAATAGGCAACCAAGTTACGTACCTTTTCTTCCTTGTTTTCCTTCTCTTCTTATTTTTCTTTCCCCCCCTTCATAATTGTCTTGTGTATGTAAAATATATCAAATTAGAATCAGGAAGGGTAATAATACCACGTGAAACAAATTTGAATTACACAGTTATAATCATATCAAGAAAGGATTGTGAGCCACCAGCATGGTTGTCCATAGAAATTTCATAACACTAAATAAAATGTATAAATTATAGGCATTTATGAAACGTACTCTTTATACAACCTGAGACAAGTATGATTTTCGGTGCATACAACCTCTAGGCTCTAAATACAAGTATGCTTCATGAACCTACTAATCCTTATTTTAAGGTTACATTTCTATTATCTATAGAAAATGATATATAAGAAAAAGTTGAATGCAAAATTTGTTAGACAATTAAAAAGTGATCAATTCACAGACAATTTTTATTTATTTATTTTATAATACATTGTTGGCTCCACACTAACGGTGGGTGGTTTCACCATCCCCACTACACCGAAGAGAATCTTCTTATTCAGCATTATTACAGGTTAATCTCTGTCTGAAACTCTCTCCATTTGCAATGTAATTTATCTTTAAATAAATAAATAATTAGTTAAAAGGAATTTTTGCACAGACCTTGAAATGAACGTGTCAGTTTTTCATATAGTATGATTTGTCTAGATAGTGAAAGCTTTTTGAAAATTCATTGAAATGCATAAATCTATAGATTACGAAATCTATGAACAAATCAGATTGCTTATTTACTAAATTATTTCTTAATTTAGCGTTTTACTGCAGCCTCATAAGACTATTACTGTTCAATAATCAGTAACTCAACAACAAATTGATAAATCTATATGGATATAATATGAATTAGAAGAAAACAAAGGACCCTCCTACCGTTTCGAACCCTAATTTCAGATATCAATAACAACATATCCAGCATTTCTTGTGTTACAAACCCTAGATTCTAATTTTATGTTTCCTTTATTAAAGAACAAGAAAAGCAAACATGTATACTGTATGTGTGTGTGTGTATATATATATATATATATATAATATAGAAAGAAAGGGGGGTACTTACCACCAAGAGAGAGAAGATGAGTAGGATCCGTGAGCGGAAGAGAGAGAATCTGAATTTCACGTACTCTGAATTGCAGGTGGAAAGAAGGGGAGGATGATGGTGGTGGTGGTAAAAAGAGAGAGGGTTGAGAGAGAGAGAGAGAGAGAGAGAGAGAGAGAGCCTACGATGAGCTGAAGAAGTGTTTCAGCTGAGATAAAGATCCAGATAGAGCAGAGATCGAGATAGAGCAGAGAGGCAGAGAAGGCTGAGGGATGAATGAAAAGGGGAGACGGATGAATTAGGGCTAAATGAAATTGAAACGGGAAAGTGGGTGTTAATGGACCCCAAAAAAAAACGACGCAGTTTAGGCAGCAAATATTTTATATAGGTTAATGGACCCCAAAAAAAAACGACGCAGTTTAGGCAGCAAATATTTTATATAGATAAAGAAGGGAGGGAAAAAGTGGAGGGAAGGGAAAAATTAGAGGGAAGGGGGAAAAAAAGGAGGGAATGGAAGGCCATTTACCAGCGCTTTCTCTTAAAGCGCTGGTAGAATTACACCTATGCCAGCGCTCCTAAAAAGAGTGCTGGTACTGTAACACCTATGCCAGCGCTCTTCAAAGAGTGCTGGTACTGTAACACTTATACCAGCGCTTTTCTACAAAGCGCTGGTAAAAGCCTAATATGTTGTAATGTCCAATTCTTAATTTCTCTTTCCACAACCTCAAAGTTATGCTCTATTCTTAGCCTAGTTGTATTTTAACATTCAAATTTTGTAGTAGCATAATGTACCTTCACCATCATTTTATCGCCAACTAGTTGGATAAAAAATATAAAATAAAATAAAAATAAAAACAAAAACAAAACTAAACTAGGTGTCATTCAAGTTATTGGCCACAATACATCACTAACATGGAAGAAAGGGGCCTTCCTCGCCTCATTTAATATCACAGCCACCATCTTCATAGATCGGTGCTCGACCCGGTTAACTTGAAGGAATTGATTTTGGCTTACACATTTGAGTCCGGATCATGGACTCCGACACACTTGCACACCCAAAGAACTAAAAAAAATATGCAAAAACTATATAAATCATGGGTGCTTAATTGAAAAATAAGCATGGGAGAGGTTGGCTTGTTGCAATGTCCTCGTTGAAGTAGAGACTCGGGCACAGCTTGGCACTGGATCAAACGCCAACTCTAGTTCAGATACCAACTATAACGGATTAGACGTTTGCCTTCTAACTCAAAAACTTAAACTATTGAGTAGTGTTACATATCCACCTATATATAACCATTTCACTACACATCCGGATCTGATGTGGGGCACCTCTAACACTAGCCTGAAGGAGCTGAACTATATGATGAACCACCAAAATATACACTTGTTCATGCTGTTATGATGCAAATAACAAGAACCAAAGAGATTGTAAATGACAGTTGCATCTCACAACCAAGACAACATCATATCAGGAGGGTATTACTTGAAATGCAGCATGAAAGGATTGGATAAAACAGGCCATAAACTTTTCGGATTTACAAACATTATCAAAGGACCTACTGCTTAATTACCCCTAATAAATTACAGAAATTCACAAGTTTTAATAACCTATCACCTGTATAACAACTGATGAGATCTTTGTAGTAAAAATTGATACAGCCATTCCGCTTAAAAATCATATTATTCTACAGAAAAAGGGGTTGTTACAGGAAAGGTGATGGATACTTCCTTTTCATTCTTATCTGTAACGTGTACATTACACGACGAATGGATCTCATCACTCGTACTTGAGTAATAGAATGTGAGATACATATTTTGTAATTGGCTTATTTCGTTGTCAAAACAAGTCTGATCGAGTTGTAATTTTTCGGTTCAAAAATTTCAAAGATTGACGATCGGATGCGGATTTGAAGAAGAAAGTCAATTATTCATTACTACACTTTGAGATAATTAGAAATATGCTCTAAGAAGGTTGAGAGGTATTGAGAACAGTTAAGACGGTTTCTAGAAGGTTCGAAACAAAAATAATTGCAAAATATTGCAAATTTTCTAAACTGTCCATCTTGAACCGGTTCAAGATGGCTAAACCAGTTCAAGAATCCGTGGGATTTAGTACTGTCCATCTTGAACCAGTTCAAGATGGCTAAACCGGTTCAAGGTTTTTTAGCAGCACTTGGATTTTAGTTTCCTTTTTGCTGAAAGTTTCCTTTTCAATTCCAACTTTCTTCCAAGTCCTATGCACGAAATTTATTATATTTTTTGAGGGATTAGGACTTTAAAAACTCTATATAAACCATGTCATATACATTGGTTGAAGAACGGCTTTAGGGAAAATCAATTCTATATTTTGAAAAAGCCTTTAGAGAGAGAAAAATTCAGAGAATCAAATCTGATGATTCTGAATTTATTTTTTGAGAGCACACATATATATTCATGAGTGATTTAGTTGTAGTATTCTCTATCTCATCTGAATTAAAGCTGTATTGAAGATTCAGATATTCCAGATGATCAACAGGATTTAATTCTTCTACAATCGAGTTTAGATCTTGAAGAATAGAAGTAAACGCAATCACACTTTGAAAGGGTTGGAGCATTCGTGAAATGATGTCTGATCTACTTGCTACTCTTTTACAAACATCAAGTGTAAGGTTGAGATCAAGTTGCTGTTAGACGGGGAGTCGCAAAGCCAGAGGATTGTCAGCGATTGGTGTAGTGTAAAACGATAGGGTGTGAGCCAAAGTCAAAGTTCGGTATACTTTGTTTCAAACATAGTGGATTGGTTTACTTTGAACTGCACAGTCCACGAAGTTTTTCCCATAACAGTTGACATATTTTATCAACTCGAGTTTCCTCACTAAAAATCCTGGTGCAATCTCTCTAACTCTAACTTGCTTTACTTTTCATATATTTTTGATGTGGATGTTTAAATTGGTCAGATAATCTAATCAATCGTAAATTAAGCAAGTTCACCTAATAATCAGATCTAGGTCATTAAGAAGTTAATCACCATTGAAATCAACTAATAGTTTCCGCATCCCGCTTAACTCTTGTTTCACAATTTGGTAATTCATCTGTTGTTGATGTGTTGTCTTTACCTCCTGTTGTTGATTCTATCACAAGCATGCAAATTGAGTGGTCCGAGTTTAAAAAGGATTTTGAAATTTTGTTAGAGAAATTGAATCTTGCAGAACTTGATATGGATATTTATCAGTTAGAAATTTCTGCTTCTAATTAAAATTTGGAAGAACTTGGCTATAAGAATTTGAATCTTCTTCCTAAAATTGATTTTCTGGAAAAGGAACTTAATAAGGTAAATTTGTTTAATAAATCAGTGGAACTTAAAATTGATAATTTGAGTAGTGAATTTGTTAAATCAAAACAGTCTTTTCAGAAAGTTGATATTGACACTTGTAAAATTGATAAGTTGAAAAAAGTGGTTGAGAATGAAAGGAGGAACAAAGTTTTGGCTTGTATTTTCAAAAATCAAAAGATGTTTTTGTGAAAGTTGAAACCAAGCCTTGTGTTATTTCTAATCCTCCTAAAATTATTTCAACATGTCATTTTTGTGGTGAAAAATGGCATATCAAGTATAAGTGTCAGAAAAGAAAAATTGAATTAGGAAAGAAATTGAAAAATTTAGAGAGTTCAAATTTGAGAAAAAAGATGATCAGGATTGTTGAGTCTTGTGACACTTTGCCTAGAATAATAGGGAAATCATTGCATAATGAATCTAAAATTGTTTGAGTAAAGAGAGAGAATTTTAAATGTTTTGCCATGCACACAGCACTTAGAGCACTTGGTCCATGTGGTTGGCACTTTGATAATGGTTGTTCTAGGCATATGACAGGGGATAGAACATTATTTACCACTTTTAAGGAATGTTCAGTTGGTACTGTTACTTTTGGTGATACTAAAGTTTCTACTGTAAGTGGTAAAGGTAAGATCAAATTTTCAGGAATTGGGGAGTTAAAAAATGTTTTATATGTTAAAGATTTAGCTGCTAATCTGTTGAGTATTAGTCAAATATGTGATGAAGAGTTTCAAGTCAATTTTACTCAATAAGGGTGTTTTGTAACTAATGAAAAAGGTGAATGCATCTTGAAAGGAACTAGAACTTCTGATAATTGCTATATTGTGTTTTCAGATCCTTCACTTATGTGTTTTTCTGCAGTTACTGATGAGACTGTTTTATGGCATAAAAGACTTAGACATGTGAATTATAATGATTTAGTGAATTTGTCTAACAATGATCTTGTTCGAGGCTTGTCTAAATTGAAGATGCCTAAGAATAAAATATGTGGTCCATGCCAGTTAGGAAAACAAACTAGAATGTCACATAAGAGACTTATTCATAAAGTCACTTCTCGACCTTTAGAATTGATTCATATAGATTTGATGGGTCGCATAACACCTGATAGCATTGGAGGAAAAAGATACTTGCTTGTTATGGTTGATGATTTTTCTAAATTTACTTTGTTGCATATTTGAGAGAAAAATCTGATACTTTTGTGAATTTCAGGTCTATTTGCCAACTTATTCAAAATGAGAAGGGATATCGAATTAATCAGATTACGAGCGACAATGGAGGTGAATTCGAACCTAAGGAGTTTATTGAATATTGTGATAAAAATGGCATTAAGCATGAATTTTCAGCACCTAAAATACCACAACAGAATGGGGTAGTAGAAAGGAAAAATAGGACAATCGCAGGAATGGCTCGTACTATGCTTCAGGAGAATAAGATTGCAAGTCACTTTTGGGCTGAATCAGTATGTACTACTTGTCATATCCTAAATAGAGTTTATCTTAGGCCTGGAACTAACAAGACTTCATATGAGTTGTGGTATGATAGAAAGCCCACTGTTAAATACTTTAGAGTCTTTAGAAGTAAATGTTATATCCTTAGAGATATGGAACACTTAGGAAAATTTGACTCTAGAAGTGATAAAGGTGTATTTTTGGGTTATTCACAAATCAGTCGGGCTTATAGGGTTTTTAATCTAAGAACCAAAGTGGTCATGGAGTCTATAAATGTGGTTTTTGATGATACAAAATCTAAGATAACCACTTCTCAACTTGATGAAAAAGAAACTAATTTTGACATAGTAGGAGAAAGGAAATAACCTGCAATTCAAGAAGAATAAAGAGTTGAGGATAAAAGTGTAGAGGGTGAAGACGATGAGGATGAGGAATTAGAGGTTACCACTAATGAACCTATAAGAATTCCAGCACCATCTCTAGATATTCCCACATCTAGCAGTTCTAGAGTTAGATTGAGTAATGCAATTGACAATGTGATAGGTCCATGGGATAAACATA